ATTTGCAGATCACTGTGACAAAACTATTGAAAAGTAATAATGTAATAAATAAAAAGTTATATCTATTACATCGGTATTTTTTATTTTAATTCATTGATAAGTATTTCGATAAAATAAAAATATTATCGATATTTATATATATATATATATATGAATATTTTAATTAATATAAATAATTAAATGAAAATCTGTATTGCGTCGGATATATTAACGTATCGATATTTTATTATAAAGATACTTTATTATAATATATACTTTTTAATAATATTAGATAATACTTTTTATTGAAATTCTCTAAATCGTTTATTTAAAATATCGATCCAATAAATACACACGATTTATGATTATCTAAATAAACAAATTTCTTTTCGTTTCACAATTTTTAAATTATTATATTTCTTTTTTTACCTGTACCACCATCGATGAAAATAATTTTTTTAGTTATCGTTAATATTAATTATATAAACTATCTCAAAAATTTTCGAAATCTCTCCTTCTCTCTCTCTCTTTATTTATCTCTTCTCTCTGTATAATAAATGAGAAATCACTGCAAAAGAAAAAGAAGTAGAAGAAGAAGAAGGAAAAGGATGCCGCATTTTCCTCAGGGTGGGTGGGTGCATACTTGCGAGTAGTTGAGGTGAGGTAGAGGGGGGGAATTTCCGTCTCCTAACTCGACTCGTAAAACGTTTATACTGCTTCCGCGTATTCGTTGATAATTCTTCCTTTCTCTCTTTCTTCTCTTCTTTCATACCTACGAGTTTAGCGCCCACGTTCTCACGTTCCTCGATGTCAACGGCCATAAAGATACGTCAGAGATTACAACAGACACGGATGCAACTCTGCCTGCATAATAATACTAAATTCAATGCTATAATATAAATTCGATCGTATATACATATATGTATATATTTTTTGTTTGTTTGTGTGTGTGTTAAAAATTGAAAGAAACATGGAACAAGAAAAAAGAAATAAAGAAAGGAACCATTTCTTTATTTTCGCGTTATAACACAACGCGATATAAACGATATGAATGACGACAACAACGACGACGACGACGACGACGACGACAATTATAAAATGATAATAATCAATGATAATAATCAATGTGGACCTTGACGGAAGATATTTCTTGCACGATAAATTTTAAATAACGAATCGGCGTTGGTGGTAATGGCGGCGGTGGGTGCCACCTCCTCCTTCTCCTCCTCCTCCACCGAGCATAAAGGCGAATTTACACGAAAACCTTACGCCTGCTCTGGCTTTCGTACGAAGGAGTAGAAACAAACGACACAAAATGTCTATATCGTTCTCTCGTTCTCTCTTTCTCTCTCTCTCTCACTCTCTCTCTCTCTCCTTGTCGATGAATTTATACGCCTGATGTTTGCTTTTAACTCGTCGCCAAGCAACACGTACGTAATTCCATTTTCGATTAGTTCGATACACTTTTATATATATATATATATATATATATATATATATATATATATATATATATATATATCAAAATCAGTACAATAAGTAATGTCGGAATTTTTAATACTTAGGAAGGAGGGGACAGTACTGATGGTAAGAAGACTAAAATCTTTTTAAACTGATTTTCAAAATCAATTACACATTTTATTTTCTCCCTTTTACTTTCATTTTCACTTTTTAACACTTTTCGAGTCGATCTTCTCTTTTTTTTCTTCCTTTCTAAAGATAAGACTGCTAAATTCTTATCAACTTTCTTTTTTATAATTTGACGAAAAAATTAGGACCGAGTGGGGGGTAGGGGTAGTGAGAGAGAAATTAAACCCGAAGAAGTCTTTTTTTTTTTAAATTATCTAGTTTACTTTTAAGGTTGATTTCCATTAAAAATTATGACCATTACACTTTTATCGATCAACTTTGAATTGATCAATATTGGAGTTGATTTACCTTTGTAGACCTTTTCTTCACGAATCTCTCTCTCTCTCTCTCTCTCTCTCTCTCTCTCTCTCTCTCTCTCTCTCTCTCTCTCTCTCTCTCTCTCTCTACATTATTATCCTTTCTCTTTCTTTTTCACGAAGAAATTCGCTCCTTGATCGAACGAGAACTGACGAAAGATTTTAAACGAGTGCGCCATTTATCGTATCGCAATGCTCCGTCGATTAACCATATCTCTCTCACTCTCTCTCTCTCTCTCTCTCTCTCTCTCTTTCTCTCTCTCTCACTATCTACCTATTTATCTATATCTATATCTCTTTAGAAAGATTATGCTGAATCACTCGACAATAAACCGAGCTTGTCTCTCCCACGGAAGTTGGTAGTTGTTCTTCATTTAGATAGTCTCGAGAAAATATTATCAAATCTTTCGAGCTTCTTATTCTTATTGTCTCTTTTTTTTATTTTTTCACTCGTCCATTTTTTTTTCTTCTTCGTATACGTTGTCTCTCTCTCTCACCCTCTCTCTCTCTCTTTTTCTTTTTTTTTCATTCCTTATCAATCAACACTAACCACAACACGATCGCACAAAAATGTTCTATAATTCTACTAATCTTTTATAATTTATCGATTTTATCCGAGCGTCGGCATCTCTCTCTCTCTCTCTCTCTCTCTCTCTCTCTCTCTCTCTCTCTCTCTCTCTCTCTCTCTTCTTGAAAAGAGGAAGAAAAAAAAAAAAAGGAAAAAAAAATTAAATAAATAAAAATCAGGAAAAAGAATAAAGGAGGAGAAAAAGAAACGACGAAGAACGTTTCGGCATTCGGAGAAAAAAAAAAGAGAAACAAAATTAAAAGAAATGAAAGTCAAATCGAATTGAATCAAATTGAGAAGAATTACGAGAGTCAAGTTGTATCAAAGCTGACGTGATGGTTGGTGGTCGAAGCTTATAACCGTTATCGTATCGTATCGTATCGTATCGTATCGTATCGTATCGGATTGAGTCGCCCGTTTTCGATTCGTGCGTTGGTACGGGCCTGCCTCCACAACCGAACACGCGCCTATTCGCCTTTAGGCTTAGAGAGAACCCATCTCGCGAAGCAACAAGTGTCTCTTAAAGCCAATTGTTAATGGTGAAGGCGGCAACCGATATATATATATATATATATATATATATATATATATATATATACTACACATACGTATATGTATGTATGTACGTATTTACGCATATACGTATTACGTATACATATACACATATGTATATAGCCGACGATACTTAGCGTATTAGAACGTATATATTAGTAAATATATTAATATATATAGATATATATAATATTTATCGCAATGTTTTTTTTTATCTTCTTCTTTGCAACTGGACTACGACGACGACGACGACGACGACGACGACGACGACGACGACGACGACGACGACGACGACGACGACGACGGTGATGATGATGATGATGATGATGAAGACGAGAACGATGAGGGCGAAACACAACATGGATTGTCTCGAGATAATTTTAGGCGATCCGTAAAATACCAGGAGAGACGAAACGACGACAAAAGTGGGAGGAGAAAACGAGAACGACGGAAAAAGAGAAAGAGAGAAAGAGAGCGAGAACGAGAGAGACAACTAAAATATCTCGAGAAAGCCAAGGGGACCTAAGCCAACGTGGATGATGATATCCGAATGAGAAATATCGATCATATACATCGTAGTTATATTGAATTTACCTTCGTCATGAGAAAGAGACAAAGAGATTAGTCTTGAGATGTTTTCCTTTTTTCTTTTTTTCACTTTTCCGATACACTCGATAAAGCGATAAAAGGTTAAATGAAAAAAAAAAAAAAGAAAAAAAAAATATATATAAAAATAAAAGGAAAAAACGAAAAACATAATAACAGAATCGATTAAAATTTTACATCAATCCTCTAAGCCATAATAAAAAAAAAATATATATATATATAATATACGTTTTTATAGATACTTCTGTATAACGCATATAAGTGAATACGTAATTACACATACGTAATTATGTATGGGATAACGATGGATAAGTACTTAGAAATCTCAAAATATAGTTACGAAAATAACGAATAATAATAATAATAATAATAATAATAATAATAATAATAATAATAATAATAATAATAATGGCGGAACACATATCTGGTTATTCGTGCTCGTCACTGACGAAACTTTGAAAACACTGACCTAAATAGTGTTCTACGGATACGCCGATATCTCTCTCTCTCTCTTTCTCTCTCTCTTTTGCACGTTCGGCAGACACGCCATGAAAAGAGAAGAGAGAAAGAGAGAGATAGATAGATGGATAGATTAGCACGGAAATCGTCGTCGAAACGTCACTAGGCGACGCCGGTACGGCGCAAAGAGGAGAAATAAAGAAAGAAAGAAAGAGAGAGATAGAGAAATACAGAAAGAGAGCAACAGAGAGAAAGAGAGAGAGAGAGAGAGAGAGAGAGAGAGAGAGAGAAAGAGTGTAGTACGTATGCGTACCCGTCTGTGTAAATGTAAGCGTGGGATGCCGTTATTGCCCAGTTTGTTCGATCGAACACAACGACGACGACGATGACGACGACGACGATGATGATGATGATGATGATGACGACGACGACGACGAGGTGGAAAGCGTGGAAAAAAATTGTCGCTTCGAAAAAAACGTTTTAACTTTTCCACCCTAACCCCCATTCCATCCTACATCACCCTTGACATCTTTCTCTCTCTCTCTCTCTCTCTCTCTCTCTCTCTTTATGTAACGCAATCACAATGGAAATTTATGATATTTCATTGTTCTTGTTTTGGAAAAGCTTTTCGAAATTGAACGCGCGAATCGAAAGAAACAGATTTCTTCTTCCTAACCTAAAAGAATAAATATAAAAGAAAAAAAAATAATATTTTATATGTGTGTGTCTCCATAGTTCGTAGAAAGTTATTTGACATCTTTTTTTCCCCGCAATCGATAATCGTAAAACGACTTAATTCTAAATCTACAGGATGTATATATATATATGACGAGGATAATATCATTCTCTACGCGTTACGAGAACGACGCGCCATTTTGCTATTATCTCTTTCACGCTTTCTCTCTCTCCCTCTCTCTCTCTCTCACTTTCTCTCTCTCTGTCTCTCACTCTATCTCTCACTCTCTTTCAATGGCGCGGAGTTATCCGCCTGCTGCTCGAAGCCGCCATAGTCATCATCATCATCATCATCGTCATCATCATCATCATCATATAGTTCTATAGAAAAAAGTAACGAAAGAGGATGTAAACAAGTCGCTTGCACACGCATGACACGTATGCGCATATATATATATGTGTCTGTACGTGTGCCGTGTGTATATGTATATATGTATGTACATATGTATATGTAGAGAAACTCTGGCCGTATACGTATCTCTTGTTTACGAGAGAAAGAGAGATGTAAAGGAGACAGAGAAAGATTGAAAGAAAGAGACCAAACGTATACCATACGTGTATACGAACGAGAGAGAGAGAGAGAGAGAGAGAGAGAGAGAGAGAGAGAGAAACGATCTTGGTGAGGGACAGACTTACAGAGAGAAAGAAAGAGAGAAGAGTCTTACTGGCAGTGAAACGATTTTGCTCCACCATCGAAGATTCCGCGCGATTCCATAACCGTTGCCGGCAAAAAAAAAAAAGAAGGAAAGAAAAGAAATATATAAAAGAACCAACAACAATGGCTGGCACGGAGAAGCCGTCATAGTAATAGTCGTAGTCGTAACATAGTATACTCGTATCATCATCGTAGCCGTCGCCGTCTCACTCCTCCCCACTTTCTTCCTATATACGTCCGTCTCCCTCCCTACGATCTTCCGTCCCACTCTCTCACTCACTCTCTCTTCTCTCGCGTTCGGCTCGTTCCGCGTTTCTCCGGCTGATTTCGAGAAGGCGGTCGGCGATATTTTTGTAGCGTGTCCGTGCGGCGGTAGCTTATATCTTCGAATGAAAGCGTACACGTACGACCTACGGTGTGTATATATATACATACACTGTGTATACGTAAACGCACACGTATATACGTAGTTGGGGCTCGGTGACGGTCAGGCAGGCGCACGCCGCGCCGGTTACGAAGACGAGAAAGAGAAAAAGAGAGAGAGAGAGAGAGAGAGAGAGAGAGAGAGAGAGAGAGAGAGAGAGAGAGAGAAAGATAGAGAGAAAGAGGTTATGTGTGTTGCTACTGAAAGAAGTTTTTATGGAATCGGTTCTGATCGGGTCGATTCGTCGAATCTCGGAGATTTACCGATCGAGTATAGAAACACTCGAGTGAGATAGAGATAAAGATATGGATAAAGATATATATACACACATATATATATATATATAGAGAGAGAGAGAGAGAGACAGAGTGAGGGGGAAATAGAGAGGTGGGGAAATCGCCTTCTTCGCGCCTTTCACGCAAGTAACGCACAGCGGTAACAATATTTTACCATGAATCACGCTCGAGAAATAATGCTGGAGAAACACGATTTCCTCTCGGCGATATTTACACACACACATATATACATTTATATATATATATATATATATATATACACAAATATATAAAGACAAACGGATGGACGAACGGAAAACAGACGAACAACAATGGCCGAAGTACTAGAATAAAAATAAGAAAAAGGATTAGAATAAATATTAAAATAAAAGAAAAAGAAATTAAGTATTGTATAGATCTTATAAGAAAGCAATCGGAAGACGCCAAGGTGCCGTTGTCGTTGTCGTCGTCGTCTACTTTGAGAAAGGCGTCGCGTCGACGCCATCCGGAAAAGAGAATGTCCGTCTCAAAGCGCCTTCTCTCTCTCTCTCTCTCTCTTTCATTATCCGAAGCACAGAGAACGAGAAAGAGGAAGATAGACAGAGAGAGAGAGAGAGAGAGAGAGATCGCTTACGTTTCGTCTATTTGTGTCTTAAAATATATGAACTCTCTACATACGCATGTATGTATGTATGTATGTATGTATGATATATATGTATTTGTACGTATATACGATATGTATATATATATATATATATATATCTTCGTTCTGACTGCTCTTTGATAATTCTCTAAATCGAAACGAGACACGAGACGACTAACGACGATGAGGAGAACGATTAGCGTTAAACACGAGCGTGTTTATATCTTTTCTTCATCGAGAGTCTCTTCGAAATATAATAAAAATATATTATCCCATTAGTTTCTTTATAATCGTTATATTACTTTTTATATATCTACGCGTAAGATCGGCTTATTTATTTATTTATTTTTTTTTTGTTTTTCTTTATTTCATAACTTCGTATAAAATTCATAACGTCGAAGAGGAGGAGAAGAAGACTGGCATCAAACAAAACTCCGGCTAAAATTTGCACACGTGTAATACCACAGATAAAGTTGAAAAATTACGATCCGCATCGATGCACGGAAACGTCATAGACGAAGAACGAGAAAAAGACGGAGTCCAAAAAAAAAAAAAAAATAATGACGTACAATATCAATTTGCTGTCAAATTTTCATGTTTTCTTTCCTTTTGCGCGATACGGAGAAATAAAAAAAAAGAATAAAATAAAAAAATGAAA